CGGCCCCAAAGCGAGGCAGTGCGTTCTGGCCAGAATCGGGCCGGAACGCGCTGCATCTGGTGTGAACGAGGCTTTAGTGTGCAGGGGAGCTTGGCGGACGTGCAAAGCCAGAAACACAGTATCCACACCTTTTTTTTTTTCCCCCATATAGTGGCTGTGTTTAGGGCCACATTCCTCCTAAAATATTTTCTCTTTTCAGTGTTTTTATTTTAGCATTTTTTAAGTTACAGTAAACATTATAAAACAAAGCCAATTGGCTCAGTGTTTACAGAAGGTGTTATCACCGACAAGAGGTACGTTCACAGAGCCAGGTCACAGCAATAGTACAGAATGTTAATTGGCGGTGGTGTAGGAGCTCTGTTAGGTGGAAAAAATGTTTTATGGAATCCGGGAGCCAGTCTAACCAATCCTGGAGCCAGCAGGTTTTTTTTTTTAAGGAGCCAGCTCCATTGATAACCACTAGAGAGAGCCTCAAAAGTTAGTTGGCTACATGGCTTCCGCGATTTGTTCAGCTTTGGCTTGTCTGTGAGCACACCCATATACATTTGCATGAACCTGGCCTCCATCGGGGTGCCCAGTCAACTGGATTAACACAGTTTTACAGGTGAAACTCGAATAATTAGAATATTGTGCAAAAGTAATTGCTGCAAAAGGGGCCCAAACCAAGTACTGAGTACATATGCATGCTTGTACTTTTCAGAGGTCCGATATTGTTCTATGTACAATCCTTGTTTTATTGATTGCATGTAATATTCTCATTTTCTGAGATTGTGGATTTGGGGTTCTTGGGGTTTTCATGAGCTGTAAGCCATAATCATCACAATGATGACAAATCACGGCTTGAACTATCTTGCTTTGCATGTAATGAGTCTATCTCATATATTAGTTTCACCTTTTAAGTTGCATTAGTGAAATAAATGAACTTTGCACGATATTCTAATTATTCGAGTTTCACCTGTAGATGGAGAAAGGAAGAGTGAGAAAGGTACCCATAAGAGAATGGTGGGGGGTAGATGGGTAATAGAGGGGGGTAGATGGGTAATGGAGGGGGGTAGGGCTAAGGGTAGGGAATGGTAGGGTTGAGGGAGGACCTTGTGGTGGGACACTTTCCTGACCTTGGATGCACAAGTGGATTCTATGGAGCATGTGAGAGTTATAAGATTAGTAAGGAACGGTCAGTCATTCAGGAAATAATGGGCTATCCATGGTGTCCAGACTTTTAGGAATTTCTTCATGGAGTCCTCCAGTATGGCTTCCATTTTCACGTTTATTAGTTACCCGGTCATTTTTGTTTTTGACCCATGCTATGGTTGGTACCTTGGACCACCATGCTCTGGCAAGAGTTTGTAGAGTTGTCCCGTCTGGTGTATCCTACAAGCTTCAGGGTTGTAGGTCGAGGAGGACCTCACACGGGTTTCTACAGATTCTCCTACCCAAGACTAGGGTCTTGGGTAAAATATTTTTAATTCTATAGGGCAGGCAAACTCTGACCCTCCATCTTTGATGCCATTACAAGTCCCACGAGGCATTTCAAGACTCTGATGGCCACAGGCATGACTCCCAGAGGCAGATGCATGATGGAAGTGGTAGTTTCCCCAGCTGGATGGCCGGAGTTTGCCTACCTGCCCTATAGAGTAACAATATTTTAGAGGATCCATCACCTAATCTGCACAGTCTTTGTAGGGGAATCTGTAGAAACCCATTTGAGGCCCTCCTCGACCTACAACCAGAAGCTTGTACGATGCACCAGGTGGCCAGAGTAGATGGATGGATATGTAGACAATACAGCACGTGTGACGTACATACTAGGGATGCACAGATGCCAAGTATTTGGGCCCCTCCTCGGCCAAATGTGCCCATGCCCAGCCCAATACTTCTGTTATCAGGAAGCCGGGCAGCAAGCCGGCTCCATGCTCCCTCGTCACTTGGTCAGAGAGCTGGCCAATAAGGAAGCCGGGCGGCGAGTCATTACCCACCCTCCTGGCTTCCTGATTGGCCAGAAAGCCGGCCCCATGCTTTCTCGTCACCCAGTGATGAGAAGCATGGAGAAGGCTTCCCTGCTGATCGGTAAGCTGGGTGGCGATTTATTACACGCCGCCCGGCTTCCTTAATGGGACTTCCGATATTGGTAGTCGGTATCGGCGAGTACCGAAAAAGAAATATCGGTACTCGATATCGAAAAACCGTTATCGGTGCATCCCTAGTACATACCCTCCACACTGTGCTCCACGGGAGGGAAGCCGAGCCGACTCCAGAATATGGAAGCGTTGGCAATACTTTTCCCGGAGGCAAAGCCTGGGGCCTGCAGGGATTTTTATTTTACCTTTTGCATTCCCTCAAACCATTTGACTGCTCGGGGGTTAGCTCGTCACAACTGTTGTTTTGGCTTTTATTTTTATTTTGGGTTGATCGCCTAAAAAAGCAAAAAGTCATCAAAATGAATCAACTTTCTACAATCCAACAGACAAAATACACATTGGGCCCAGTCATAATAGTAAAAGCCTGAGCCCACATTCGCACTTGACTCCTGCGATTTTTTTTTTTGTGCTTTCACAAAGCATGCGTCGCGCTTCCAGTACTATTCACTGTTAGCGGCACTTCAGCCGCGCCAGTCAAGACGCGCATAATAAACACGTGAAGGAGCAGGAGCCCCCTTTTTTTTGCCATGCATAGGCCCATTGAGCCCCGATTCACACTTGTGTAGCCTTATGAATGCATCGCAAGGTTTTGCGTTTGTTCACTTAAGATGCCAATTCTTGTTAAAAGCGCCAAAAAAAAGACGCGCGACGCTCATAAAGGTACATGAGTTTGCTTTCTATGTGTAGGGCAGCCCGTTGAAATGAAATGGCTGTCCTATGCATGACAAAGTATCTCATGTACTTTTTTGTTGCTTATTAGTATCTGTTGTTTTTTTTACATGTCGTTTTTCGTTATTTTGTGTTTTCTTTCCCCAACATCTTTAGCACTGTTGTGACAAGTGCGCCGCCTAGTGTCTGGTTTCTATTATTGCGATTTGGATTTTTTGACGCGCGTGGAGTTTGGACCTCTTGGCTTATTTAAAGGCGACCTCAGGGCAGTTATAAAAAATACAAATTAACGCAGGTCTGTAATCATCAATGCGCCATTCAGTGTAAGTTCCTGAACGTGACCCGATATCGGCCTCGCCCTCCGCTGGTATCAGCACACCCACACTGCTAAGTCAGAGCCAGAGATCTCCAATCAGTAGGAAGCACGAGCTTTGCTGATTGCAAAGCTGTAGGCTTGACTCATCAGGAAGTGTAACAAACACAAGACAGCGCCTTCCTCCTCGTGAACGACGTTTAATAAATTATAAAATGTGGTTACAAATACTCTTTAGAGTAGTTGATAATCTGCATATATAATATAGGTATTCTGCATCCCAAAGCATGCGTTACAGCGGAATGACAAAGAAGACTGGGAACAAATTGGCTACAAGTACTAGAGGTGCACCGAAATGAAAATGTCAAAAACGAAACCGAAATTTAAAAAATATCTCAGACCGAATCCGAAAATGTTTTTTATTTTAACTTTTTCAATTTCTTTTTTATTTTTTATAAACTTTTTAATTTTTATATAGTTATTAAATATTTTTATGTTTTACTTTACTGTTAGGGGCTTCGGGGAAATATTAGGGATCTAAACAGACCCCTAATATTTCCCTTTTTCAAATAGAAAAAGATTGAGGACACAAAGTCCTCAGAGACACAGAGTCCTCAATCTCTTATTCTGCAGCCCCTGTTATCAATGGACAGGAATCCTCTATACTGAGTGTTCCTGATCATTGATAACATGAGGACAGAGTATGTTTACTATAAACGCAATCATGAATGAACCGGAAGTGATGCAGATCACTTCCCATTCATTCATAATTGAAGATATAGTAAATTCTGTCCTCAATGATGTAACACTCAACGATCACTGATCACCGACGCTGTCACGGGTTGTGGGGCGGTGCGGGAGGAGAGCTCAGCCTCCTGTGACAGCGCTGTCTCCGCCCCACACACCGCTCTGCCGGACTGTGATAGACGGCTGAGCGGTGTGGAAGGAGAGACGCTGGCCGCTAACAGCACTCTCCTCCCACAGCGCTCGGCCACCTGTGACAGTTTCTCTCCTCTCCGCTGGGACACAGAGCAGAGCCCAGCGGGGAAGTAGAGAAAGAACGGATGCACCCGCTGTATCAGCCAGAAAATGGCACTTTCAGCATTATGTCAAAAGTGCAATTTTCGGCCGATATATATCAGTGTATCCCTAACAAGTACCGGACCAGCCGGCTGCTGCTGCAGTAAAAGAGCTAACTCGTTTCTGGGGCATATCCCCTTCCCCAGAGTTCACTAGCGCAACCCACACCCTTGTGTATATATAAATGTATTCCCAACCATTCAAGTGTCCCCCTGATATCCCTTACAACTCGGAACGGGCGGAAGCTTATGTAAATAATTGCTGGCTTCGATAAAACAGGGCACCCGCATTGGTCCTTTTTTTGCATTTGCTTTTCATGTGCTGGAAGGATTTCCCTGTCTGATGCGGTCAGCTGCCTCCCCCTAAGAAGGCGATTTGCGTGGACAATGTATTGATGACTCTGGAATCTACCATTAGCGCCAACCAATGTGCGTATATTCATCAGGAAGTGTGTTGGACCTCTGCAGAGAGACCTCTGCTTCCAGACAGAGAGCAATGGTCCTTCTCTGCCGCATGCTGGCAGGGGACGGGCTTTACTACTCGGGCTGGGGCTGCTTTCTAAAAGAAACAAGCTGTAACTCTGCACACCTTTTGTACGATGTGCAAGGACTGGACTCGGCCGATATGAGTTGAAAGTTCAATTTGTAAACGATGTCATTCATTGAATATTTCATTTTCTTGTTTAAATAAATAATTACGCAGGTACCACAAGCAGAGTTCTCTAGTTGGAGTTCCACAAGTACAGAATAAAGACCTTTTTTCATGCTATAGAGAGTCATGAAACGTGTTTTGTGTTTCAGGTTCCTGTGGCCTGCAAGTCCTGTCCCTGCGGATACATATTTATTAGCAGAAAGCTTCTACACGCCAGACAGACAGAGCGGATTCACCCCACCTCAGGTATCCCTCTCATCCTCATTTCTTTTATATTACTTCCCAAACTTCTGTCACCTGCTGAGCAAAGAGAGGCGCAGAACAGAAACATTTAAAGGAGAACTATGAGGCGAGTGAAAATCACTCCTCTTCATAATTAGAGCCGACGTGTGACAATGAAACTGTCACACGTCGGCTCTATAGATCGGGAAGTGAGCAGAAACATGCCGTCGCTCGCTCCACTTTCCGATCATCTACCTGCAGAGAGTGGTGACCATCAGTCACTGCTCCCCGCAGGGGTTCCCTCCCTCCCCTCTCTGATCCCCCAGCGCTGATTGGGGGAACGGACAGGGGAGGAGGCGGGCATAGCTGGATCTGCCGCTAGATAGGCAGAGCCCTCTGTCAATCAGCTAGCTGGGTGGATCCAGACAGTATTATCAGGATCAGTCCCGGCTGCGGCGATCTCTGTATAAATAGTGGGCAATAGCTCGCTATATACTGAGCTTTGGGTCACAGGAGGAGGTTAGTATATGTCCTCACCGTGACCCTAAAGAGAACTATGGGATAAAAAGGGTTACCCCATAGTTCTCTTTTAAAGCGGGATGCTGGGCAAAAGTGTTCTTCGCCCTTGCAGTGAGGCTACCCCCGCACTGCAAGGGTTAAGTCTTCATTTTTGTTTAGATGCTAATAACTTATATTCTCCGGAACCGCAGAGCTTGCTGGCTGCTACTCCGGTCCCTAAAGCCTGTTTCGTCCTCTGCTACAGCGATGGGGTGTCCCTCGGCATCCTCATATCCTATACAGAATGTATTGGATGTGAAGACTCGGGGATCCTTAGACTCTTGCAGCGGAGGGGGAGAAGAGGCTCCAGGGACCAGTCTGAGAGCAAAGCCGGCTCTGAGGTTCAGGTTCATGAGGATGCCGAGGGACATACCATCTCTGCAGCAGAGAGGAGGAGACGGGCTTCAGGGACCGGAGTAGCACTGCAGTTCGGGGGAGGATCACTTTTTAGCAACTGGTCAAAAATGAGCACTTAACCCTTGCAGTGCAGAGTAGCCCCACTGCAAGGGTTAGGATCACTTTTGGTGTATGGGTATTTATGGGACTATTGTGAGTTTTGTTATATGTCTGTGCAGTAAAGGTTTTGTATTGGTTAGTGACCTGAGGACCTCTTATTTTTGTTCATTTAAGATCACTTTTGCCCAGAGTTTTTAAAAAATAATTATTCATATGAGTTTGTCATCTCAGTTGCACCTTGGAAGACCCATTTATATAATATGCTTTGGGTTCCTTATCACATTTTGGGATGTGGTGCTTAGATGCTTGTCACAAGCCCCCTTGTTCTTTATTTCACCTGTAATGACTTCACACAGGAAGTGAGGGAAAATCTCTCCTAGGATCACACCAAAGGGTCTGTTTATAATTATTTTTGTTCTGGTCCAGTCTAAGCATTGAAAGTGTGATCTCTGGAACTTAGTTGTAGCGAGCCGGGCATTAAAGGAGAACTATGGGGTCAGTGTTTTTTCCCATAGTTCTCCTAAGGGTAACGGGAGGACACAAGCTAGCGTCCTCCCGTCACCCAAAGCTCAGTATATAGAGAGCTGCACCTCGTGGTATACTGAGCCGCTGGAGCGGATCCCGACATCGATGTCGAGATCCACCCAGCTGTGTGATTGACAGCCGGCTCTGCCTATCTAGATACAGAGCCAGCTGTGCCCGCCCCCTCCCCCGTCTATTCCGCCAGTCAGTGAGTGACAGTCACGGCTCTCGGCAGGGAGATGATCGAGAAGTGAACGAGCGACGCTATGTGTTCGCTCACTTCCCGATCTATTGGGCCGACGTGTGACAGTTTCATTGTCACAGGTCAGCTAGAACTATGAGGCTGAGTGATTTTCCCTCACCTCATAGTTCTCCTTTCATCCCATCTCAGTGAATTTGCAGACAGTTGACTCTATTCAGGTGACACCTTGAAAGATTGTTGAGAAGTTTAATCCAAACTGTGCCGATCTTCACAAACAGCGAGCATAGGACAGGTCAAAAGATCATAATGTTATCCAATCAGCAAAGGACATGTGGCTGAGATGCAGACTGGAACATAATGAAGAAGGGTGGAGCCATCTACACAGAGGAGAACCTGAACTATGGGGAGGGGTTGGAGACCAATACCAGAGAGAGAGAAAAAGAGAATCGTATTTAAAGGCTTATCACAATGTATGGGTAACATGACAAATTTACAGGGCCCTTCTCCCTGCGTTGTATCTGTAAACGTTTGTTTTGGGTGAATATGCCAAAAACGAATGGTTTTTAATAGGGATGCACCGATACCGTTTTGTCAGTATCGAGTACGTCCCATTAAGGAAGCCGGGCGGCATGTAATGACTCCCTGCCCAGCTTTCTGATTAGCCAAAAAGCTGTTCCATGCTCCTTCGTCGACAGGTGACGGCAAAACATGGAGTCGGCTTTGTGGCCAATCGGGGAGGAAGCCGAGGGCGGGTAATAACTCACCACCCAGCCTTTCTGATTGGGCGGTTAGTCATTACACGCCGCCCGGCTTGGCAACCAGGTGACGAGGGAAGCATGGAGCTGGCTTTCTGGCCAATCCAGAAGCCGGGGGGAGTCATTACCCGCCCCCCGGCTTCCTGATTGGCAGGGAAGCCAGCTCCCTGGTGACGAGGGAGCATGGAGCCAGCTTCCCGACCAATCAGGAAACCGGGCAGTGTGTAATAACTCTCCGTCAGGCTTCCTGATACCAGAAAGTTCCGGTATCGGCAGCATTTGGGTATTGGTATCGGTGTATCCCTAGTTTTTAATATTTGTTTTTTCCCCAATTTGAATGTCTTGTGATGCGATACTGCATGATGGCCACCAGGTGGAAAATAAACTCTTCTTTATGGTTTCATTCAGAAAACAGATCTGATCCCAAAAGAAGGCGGACGGAAAGGATAAAAAGAGAGCGGATCAACTACACGGTCAGCAGAGACCTGGAGAACAGGAGGCGGTCGAGATCCAACAGCCAATCGGAAGCCGTGCGCCGCGGCAGGGGGAGGCCGAAGACGGCTACGACCAAGAAACAGGAAGAGGAAAAAGGTATCTATAACTGCAACCCGTCCAGAGAGTTCTCCACCCAAGCCTGGGCATTTTAGTACTGCCGTGTGGTTCGGGGTCAGCCACGGTGGGGACCCTTAAGACTGTACTTGGCTCTACCCGCTAAATAGAATGGACCGTCCTGAATTCCTGCTGGTCAGTAATGTCCCTTCCCTTCCTTTCAGCTGGATATACAATTCATTGTTTCCTGTTGCTGCAAGGCCCCGCCTTATACCACTAAGCCCCTCCCTTCCTTTCAACTGTATATGTACTTCATTGTTTCCTGTTGCTGCAAAGCCTGCCTTCTACCCTAATTGATCCCTTCTGCTTGATGACCTACATTCTATTACACTGTATATTCACCAAACCCCGCCTTCTACCACTAAGCCCCTCCCTTCCTTTCAGCTGGTTATACGCTTCATTGTTTCCTGTTGCTGCAAAGCTCTGCCTTCTACCACTAAGCCCCACCCTTCCTTTCAGCTGGATATACAATTCATTGTTTCCTGTTGTTCAAAGCCACACCTTCTACCACTAAGCCCCACCCTTCCTTTCTTCTAATTTTGGGCTGATGTAATAAGCAGCTCCACCTTGTTTCGCATGCCTGTATGCACCAGGGTCCCTTCCCCTCCAGAGAAAGGTGAACAAATCATGAAGTGGATTATAAGAATGCACAAGCGGGGCCCATAGGCGGTCTAGGCACCCGCTGTGTTATACAGGGACTGTGGTCCTTGACTACTATCCTGAATTCGGAGCCATCCGTTCCCTTCAGCGGGTGCAGTGGGGCCGGGAGCATAGGGGCGTTCTATGTACTAAAATGACGAGAGATTTGGGTGGAGAACCACAACCCTGATTTATACCCGTGTCCTGTATATACATAAACATTATTAATTTCTCCATGATTGATCACATCTTCCTGTATTTGATTTTTGTCATTTTATATTTTAGTTTTGGTAGTGGGTTGTCATTCACGTTCTTGGTTGGGTCGTCCTACAGGTACAAGAAGGATGCAGTTCATTCTCCCAGGCTGTGAATGGTAACTGTAGATTAGTCAGTCTTAATTCT